TTTTGTTTTATACCCATAGACTTATGAATTACATAGTCGCAATGCTTCTGTCGGGTAGTTGTATGAGCACACATAACCACCTGTTGTATTTCGCCAGGTTTTGTGCAGGGTTAACCCCTAGAATGGCCGTCAAAAACATAACACAAAGAACTTTGCCAGGTTTTATAACATTTCCCGCTATTAACTTTTTTGTATAACTATCATCTTATGGCTCTATTGACCTTATAAGTATTGATTAGTTTTGACTGAATGTTCGTGGAATCTTAGTAACCTTTTGCTTCAGATTTAGCCTGGGAGTCTGGAGCCCGTGTTCAGAGCCTTGTGGAGGTGGTCGGCAGCATCGCAACTTGACCTGCGTTCAAGTAGTTTCCCAAGATGTGACCAAAATTCTCCCCGAATCGGAATGCGTCCACTTGTCGAGACCCGCCAGTACACAAAAATGTAATAACGTAGACTGTTGGCAGAAATGGATCTTAGGGGAGTGGACGCAGGTTAGGCTTAATTACGTAATGTTGCTTCTTATTTGCTATTTTAAATTTAAACTGTCGTGAAGAGTTATTGCAGTTTTGCCTCTCATGGACGCAGCGTGGCCGAGTGGTTAGGCCGCCGGACTAGAAATCCGGAGGTCTCGGGTTCTAGTCCCGCTCCTGACCGTTAAGCTGGAGATGTTTCTCGGTAGACCTTAGTTCAACTCCTCAGTCATGCTTGTAAATAGCCATCAACTGGTCTGCCTCCCTAACAGTTGGGATTTTTAAGCCTATTATGTTTATTTTTTCTTTCTTTCAGTTTAAGTGGTATGCTTGAGAACTAGCTAGTTGTAGCTAAGGGCATCGACCACTATAAAGATCTATAAATATTCGACATTTAACATTTGTTTTCAACATACTGTGGTCAAAGTGCACATTTTGCATATCTCTCCTTGTATACTTCCAGTGTTCCGTTCTTTGCGGTAATGGCACTAAAACACGGAGTGTGGACTGTAAAAAGAAGCTGGCTGATGGCAACTGGACTGTATTGCCAGATGATCAATGCGATGATAAACCATCCTCGATCATGTCATGTAATGAAATGCCTTGTTACACTTGGCGAGTGGAATACCCCTGCGCTTCCTGTGGAAGTAGGAACTTTATTTTGTTTATAGTTAATAGAGGGGATGGTTGAGAAGCCCGGTATACATCAAAGAAGCAAACAAACAGACTAAGATTTATGTTGGAAGGTCCTTGATCCTGCGCATGCTCATGCATGGTTCTGTTGGTTAGTTGTATGACCACACATAACCACCTTTTGTATCTTGCCAGGTTTCGTGCAGGGTCAACCCCCAAAATAGCCAACAAAAACCTACAACAAAAATTTTTGCCAGGTTTCATTACCATTCCCTCTACAGACTATGGTTTGTTGTTTGGCATTAAAACTGGAATGGGTGCTGGTGATTATGATGATGATGTTGTTGCATCAACACTCACACACGTTATACTCGCATCTTAGGGTCGGATAAGACTTATGTTCCGATCGGCTGCTTCAGAGACAACCAATACGACGGACGACCGCTGCCGGAGATGATCGGAAATCATCGTAAGAACATCAACTGGTATCACATGTCCGAAACAGTAAAGAAGTGCGCGGATGATGCTTGGCAAAAACAGTTCGCCGTCTTTGGAGTGCAGTTCTATGGCGAATGCTGGTCTGGGCCATCAGGCTACGTTACATACGATAAGGATGGTTTTAACTTGCAAGGCTGTTGGGAGGGAGTGGGAAGGAATCGTAATAACTACGTTTACGCTTTCACAAGTAAGTGAATTTGTTGCCATGGTAATTACTCAAGGTTGTGTTAGTGACGGGTAGTAGGATTATTTAACTCATTAGTCCTCATAGTGCATGGGTGCGCATAAGGCCTTTGCCAGACCGTCACTGATTTCGGTCAGCTGCTCGTCGTTATAAGGACCCCATGTCAAGGCTCTGTGCTTCATCTCTCTATTCACTGTCCTCCACAGTCCTCCTCCAGGTTTGTTTCGGTCAGCCTTTCTTTCTGCGGCCATCAGGGGTCCATTAGGGAAAGTCTCTATAGTATTGTTAGTGGCATGTAAAGTTCATGGCCATTGTAGGAATGGCTGTGTTCAAATATTCAGTTCTTAACATCAACACTCTTACACCTCAGCTTAGGCTTATGATCAAGCTGTACATCCGCTTAAAGAGGAAAGTTTCGTTTTTAGCGCTGCTTAATCGAAATCTTCCACTTAAGACCCGGTACCGGCTGAATCAGGTTCAGATGTATTTGACCGTATTATACGCCATACACCAACCACTCTTAGATATATGAAGCCTGTTTTTACCACCAGGTTTAGTCTCGCAGCCACTCGTAGACTGCATCTACACGGTAACTGACCAGGCAGTAACCGACGAGAAGTGCAGCTCGACAAAGCCTCTCGCCAAGATGAAACAATGCTCCCATGTATGCAAGATGGCAAACACAGGATAAGCAAACACTGGATGCCACAATCAACAGGTACACGATCAAATTTTTCTCAGCTTCTGTCATTGTAATTGTTAATTAGTTACTTATTTTAAATTGAAATTTAGTTGTTACTTCTATCCCTAACGGTCACTTCTGAAGATGTATGTTGAAACATACGAAACGTCAAGTAAATGAACTTTGTTTTTTAACATGCGTTTTATTGCCATGTTTATCGCCGCAGTTTGCGTGTTATAGAAGTTCGGTAAGGATGTCTTAATAGCATCTACAGATTAACCCACATGTTCAGGTGTGCAGTTAGTCTAATAACCTTGTGTAGAGCCCATGACCGTGACCCCTCCTGTCAATACCACATTTTATCCCATGCCATAGAAAATACAGCCAATCAGAGTACAGGAAAGGCGCTGTATAGTCGATGGTATTACACCCAACCTTCCCATCGAGCGCCGTGCATATGTCGCATTGATTGTGTTGGCCACTGTATTTTCTATGGCACAGTATAAAATAGTTATGCAATGCCCTCTCGTGATATACCATGGAATATCCCACTTGTCATCTAAAGGCTCGTGTGTATACCGAGAAAATACAGTGACTCGTGAGATATTCTATGGTATACCACTCGAAAGTGTTGTATAACTAGTAGATATCTTATCTGGTATAAGCTGTTGTGAACACTTGGCTAAAACAAGTTTTATCACTGAGATGTTGGGATAATTTCTGATCCAGTTATTTTGATCATTTCAGACAACTTCATCGCTGAAATCATAACTGCTGCAAGAAGAAGAAGTCTTACTCAGCTCCATTAAGTTTGTCTTTTAGTTTTATTTTTGTTGAGGATGCAAAATGCGCAAGGGATTAAATAAACTTTTCATCACAGCTGAATTATTCTTGATTTCTCAAATCTTACCATAATGTTTGCCAATCTAGCACAGAGCGAA